TCATTACCCATTCAAGCCGTCTCCAACCATTATTGTTTAGTTTGTTTAATAATTTAGTATTTGGTGATTGTTTGGTTTTCAAGGCAGAAGTGTTTAAGGTTAATTATTCTGAAAGCAATGGTTGTGACGGATTTCGTTACGTGACTCGGTGAAAGTAGTATGTTTTGTGTGTGTATTTCAACTGTTGTAAATTGACGTCATGGATTTCGTTACGTGACTCGGTGGAAGTAGTATGTTTTGTGTGTGTAGTTCAACTGTTGTAAACTGACGCCATATTACTGGAACCGTCTGTATTTTTCTCGTTGCCTTAAGTGAGTATTGTTACATCATAGCGTATCGTAGTTTGTAGAAAGTTCTAGGCCTCAGTTAGGCGATATATACATATATAGGCGACCAAGTGAACGCAAGTATTAAGTCAGAAAACGTTAAGTTAGTGAAAGTGAAGTTAGACTGCGTGATTGTTAGTTTAGCTATAATAGCGATATTTTATAGTGAGTTTTATAGTTTAACAGAGATAAGCAGAATACTTTGTCTCGTCAAAGGGTGTTCTAAAGTAATTGAAACAGCCTGTGTGAACTTTTGACGAAAAAGAGGATTATTTAAAGCTCTAGATTCAACTGTGTTAACCATTGGTGTAACGAATTTTTGTACATACGTTTGACTGGTTTTGAATATATATACTATTTTAAATCAAGTGGATTGTATGCTGTCCGTTTATTGTTGAAGTTTATCGCCAACATGTCACAGACACTTATTGTATAGAATCCAATTTCAAAAGATACCTGACATGTAAGAAGAGAGTTGTTTCATCTCGATGTTTTGTAACTCTACCTACACTAAAGTATAAGAAGAAATTTATCGGCAACAAGTCACAGTCACCTACTATAGAGAGCCCGGACCTATAAAACTGACAGTATAGTTTTGTATTACATGAGTGTAAGCATACTAAAGTGGCAGAATACAACAAGCTCAAAAGTTAAAACAACAAAATCAATCTTTTGGATATTTTCACAGTAAAGTTAGAAAAAACTACATTTACTCCCCAAATAATAACCATTTCAGTCAAAGTTTCGCCATTATGGCTTCATCAAGGCTAGTAGTACAAGAAATACTTGTTGTATTATTTACAAATAATATAAATAATAATATAAACTAACAAATGAATCTATCACTGATTTTAATTCTCTTAAAAAACAACAACAAAAAAACTCTTGCATTTTTTAGAATTGCATATTGATTGAATGAATACTATTGAAATTCGTGTATATCTAAAGCGTCCATTATGTTTTTGTACTGCTAGCCCAGTTGAAGCAGCCTTGACAAAAATTTAGCTGAAAAGAATATTATCTGGAGAGTAAAGACCATTTTTTCTTGACTTAATTGTCAAAATTTCTAAATCCTACCAATATGCACTACATAGTATTTTGATTAGTAAACTTACCTTAATGATATCTTATTGAACACTTGCTACAGTAATGTCACTATCTCTAAAAGTCGTTCTTTAAAAATTGAATATACAAGAAACTGAATCAAATCAATAATTTTGGAGAAACAAATATAATATAAATAACTAAAGTACTGTTTGTTTGTAGTTAAGCACAAAGCTACACAATGGGTTACCTGTGCTTTGTCCACCACTGGTATCTAAACCCAATTTCTAGCGTTATAGTTCCGCAGACTCACCGTTCTGCCACTGGGAGCATAAAATATCGTCCCTTTGAACTTTGTTAGTTTTGTGAATGTTTCCAAAAATCGATTAACTGACTATCAGATGTTCGACAAATAATATTTCAGTAAATGAGGGATACCTTGTACGTGTATATGTTATCATTTTATATTGGACAGAGGGAACCAAAGTGTAGGTATTACACATTACAAGTAATAAGTTCACTAATACGTGTATATGTTATCATTTTATATTGGACAGAGGGAACCAAAGTGTAGGTATTACACATTACAAGTAATAAGTTCACTAACGTAGGTAATATATTGGACAGAGGGAACCAAAGTGTAGGTATTACACATTACAAGTAATAAGTTCACTAACGTAGGTAATATATTGGACAGAGGGAACCAAAGTGTAGGTATTACACATTACAAGTAATAAGTTCACTAACGTAGGTAAATGACACCGATTTGGATAAATGAAGAAATTCAAAAGATTTGATGTATTTATTTAAATTTTACACAAACGTCGTCAGTAGTTCCAGTGTGCTACATATCAAAGTTCAACAAATAACTCTGAAGAGTACAGACTGCATAAAGCTCATCTCAATATATACTACTATTGGTGGACTGTATTCTTTGAAATTCACCACACATCCATATCTAAAGCTTTCAACTTAGTATATAATTAAACTCGCCAAAACCATAAATAAAAATTCGAATTGCAGTACAAGTATGCTTTTTACGGTATTATTCTAACTTTATGCATCGATCAATTAAAATGTATTGAAGTATTGTTTATTAAATTTCTAGTGGTCAGTTAATGTAATTTGGGAATCAATGTTGTTTTAATGACATAAACTAATTAATGAACCGCATGTTCTTCAAAACCATTTTTTTTTCATTTTTAGACATGAATACATAATTGAAACAGTTTATTAAATTTGGCAATTAAACACTAGTAAAAAGGAGTAAAAACTAAAGAAACCTTCTGTTTCCTAAAAGACTTCATAAAACTTTTAGATTCGTAGATATGTTTACATGTAACGTAATTAGTGTTTTGTATGGCATAACTTGAATATATTATAAAGTAATCAAGTGAAACGGCCATATAACAGGAATACAGGATGAAGAATTATTCTTACCTGCAGGTACAATAGAAAAAACGCATGGTGCCACCTGAAGTCCAACACTATTCATTCCAGTGCAGATAAGCTTTCCAAAGTCTGATTTAAACTTGGGTATGTACGTGAGTATGCTAGATGTTCCAATTGTGTTGAAGTCCAATAACTTACGACTGTCTACGGAGGAATTGAATGTCCAGATGAAGGTCACGTTATCGGGATCACTTTCCACGTTACAGGATACTTCGACAGGTCGATTTATAGCACCACCATATAGTATCTTTTGATTAGGCTTGCAAATGGGTGAATCTAGTATTAAAAAAATAATGTGAAGGACGTTGTACTATCCAAGTACATTATATTTTAATAATGTGAAAGACGTTGTACTATCCAAGTACATTATATTTTAATAATGTGAAGGACGTTGTACTATCCAAATACATTATATTTTAATAATGTGAAAGACGTTGTACTATCCAAGTACATTATATTTTAATAATGTGAAGGACGTTGTACTATCCAAGTACATTATATTTTAATAATGTGAAGGACGTTGTACTATCCAAGTACATTATATTTTTTTTTTCTTCAAGAAGAAGGATAAAAAAATATGAAACGAACATTTATAAATCTTTTGTTTGGATTTATTCTAAGTCAGTTTTAATCAATCGTGCAATAATGTGAATATTATTTCGCGCTAATGTTTGCGTATCACCTTTATGGTATTGATTGAAAAGACAATACTCCATTAAACACGTCGAAATTGAACAATAATAACTGATCATGAGTTATCTTTATAAAACATTGAATTTTTTTGAGCTGCAGTATAAGTAATATGATATGAAAATTCCGAACGAAAAGTAATATTTAGAATAAAGTTAGCCACTCACAATCTTGAAATTTGTGTTCTTAAAGTGAAAATACACCGTTATCCCTCGACAATTCTTCAAGAACATAGACTTAACATGAGAGCATAATCATCAAACTTTTGTGTTATTTACCAAATGAAACATATTATTTTTAAAGCACCTATATCAGCGTCGATATATAAATAGCTATTCAGGGCTCACGCTCACTAAATTCTACAAACGCTAATTAAAAGATAACTTACAATTAATATTTTATTCGCTTAATTATGCCTAGCAAAATATAAAATGTTGTGTGTTGCATATACTACACAGAGCCATTTAGATTTTTTACAACTAAGCAGTATTAATGAATACTACAAATTATATATTTGTTTATTCATGTCAGCAATATAAAGCCTGAACTATACAATGTTTTTGTAAGACTTTTGAGCTCCTTATAAGCTACAAGAGTGCACAACTGCAGTGATTTTGGTATACGTTTTTAAACAACGGATCAAAATTCCTAAGAGTAGCATTACAAGTTAATAAGAAAACAAATTATGGTAGTGTAAAGCTAACTGAACTCATGGGAAATTACTAAGGCTATCTACCATAGTCCATAACTACTGAGTAGAGGGAAAGAATCAACGCTAATGAAATGCATTGTGTTATTGCATGGATTCGAACTCTGTTTGCCAACTCTAAAATAAAGAGCTTTACCACGGGGCAAACCTACGATCCCTGTAAAACTGAGGTTAAACATATGACATCCGTTTCAACTGTTTTCCTTCTGAAAAATTTGAATGTACTTATTACTGATTCATATATTACTAAACTAATAAGTTGACCAACCTACACTGCTCATTAAGATAGACAAGGATCGACTTTCTTTTGTTTTTGGACAGATTGTACTGGGATCTAGTCATAGTTACCTCATTGTGGTAGCCAATTACACATCAAATGTGTTTAATAATATTTTCTTTTTTTAGTTTGCCTCAAGCATTTTCTAGAAATGTTTTCAGAATTTTTAGAAATCTTACATAGGAAACACGCAATACTCTAAATATAATGTTATGTTACTTGAAAAATTACTTAAAATACATTCTGTCCCTCTATTTGTAAAAAAGTGCTATAATTTCATTCTTGCATTATTATCGAATATTGACAGCTATAATTTTTATTGCTTATTTCTTGCTCTTCGTGACACAAAATAAAGCATGAACAATAAAACATTATAGCAGTGCTACCACGTGGCTGGTAGAAATTCCATTGAATCCAGCACTGACTGTTCGAGAAAGTTCTAAAACATTTCTGTGCTAGTAAATCCCCTGCCATCATCATGTGAGGAGCGTATGCATAAGCATGTGTGCAATTATGTATATATATGAGAATAAACAATTATCAAATGCTAGTTAAAACTAAACTGTATTGTAACTTATTGCTAAATTAATTACTTGCATTAGGAGAACAAGGTACCAAAACTAATTAAAGACTTGTTTTCATGTATCGAAGATACTCTCTCTATTATACAGTCTTGGCCCAAATGTTTGCATACTGTTCTATATTGATATTATTGTCTACGTGTAGTAGTTATAAAGTAAATCCCTGACCACTAACAAGGTAGCGTAAGCAGTTAGAGGGGTACTCTGGTCACGCGCGTTGATTGGGTGCCTCAGGAAGGTGGAGTAGAGATGATGATGTCATAATTCAACTAGGACGCCATGACAGAGAGAGCGTTGTTAGACGTGACGTCACAGTTCCACGAAGTGGAAACAGCGGGCGCTGGTGCCATGATACGAGAAAGCTGTCCAGAAAGCATGCCATGCAGTGGATCCAGAGGGCATGTTGCTAGGCTGCCATGATTATGTCATCATAGAGGGTCTCAACATGTCATTAATGTGTAGATTTAAGTATATATATATTCTGAGTAGAACTATTATTTTAACAAAACAAGTATTACAGCACTGTTACATATGTCAATTTTTATCATACATCCTTTGAACAACGTAAATATTATAGTCCATAACTTACTTTACATACTTTTATAATTATTCAACACTAATTCGTTAGTGCTACAGTTTTTGCTTCTATATTTAATTATACTTTTTGTTATTTCTAAAGCTGGATAGTGTTACCATCACATTTAATGTACTTATAAATGTAAAACAATCTGTTATTTTAATCTTAGCAACTTTATAGTTTTTCTCTTACATATGTTTTACAAAGGTGGATGGTGTTTCTATAGGCGGATATCGTTACTAATGTTCTATAGGAAGATGGTCTTACTAGACATATTGTGTGTTTTACAAAGGTGTTGCTATATTCCTGTAAAGCTACATACAGCATATACTTATGTTTATATTTTTCATTTACATGTGTTTCTATAAGCAGAGGATGCTACAAAGGACAATGTTAGCATAATAATTAGGATCATTGTTTAATCAATAATATTTGTGACGGATTCATTATTATATATCCATTTTAATATCGACGTTTGTTTAGATTAAATTTATATTTAGAAACATACATGGCTTATACTGTTAAATATGTGCTGCAAAACTCCCGCCTATTCTCTAAAATTGTAGAAGATTCTCGAGTGTTAGAATCAACAATATATGTATGTACGTAAATGCTTAATGTAGCTTTGTACTGTTACATAATCTAGATTTTCTAGAAACACTCCACACGCCTATAAGTATAACCAACGCGACGCGATAAAAAACAGTATATTTACAAAGTTCGAACATTACAAATCATTTAACTTCAATGGATTCTCATTAGACATTAGTAGTTTTACGAAAACATTATATAACTTCATCGTGGAAAACTCTGCGTGTTTGGCTAGTGAATAACGAAGGACAAAGCTAGGTAGTCCCCTGTTAAACGAATCGTACCTACATCAACTCGTAATTAACTCGCTCTTCGTGAATCCTCGATAAGATATCAAGGAAGTTCCAGACTAGAAAGAAAACTTTATATTGTTTGTAAGTTTGTAAAGTTTTTATATATAAATCATTGTTCGTAATAACTATTTGTAATAACTGTTATTGTAAATTGTATTGTTGTTTGTATATTAAAAGATATTCGTATTAAAAAAGAAAACTGTGTGTGTATCAATCTTGTTGGCAAATATCATAAACTGACTATATATCGGCTTTTATTTAATGACTAAATTTAAAGTATCATTTAACTCAATTTTAGGCTATTTGAAATTCTAATACGTAACATATTTACTTTACTTGTCTATGATAGTTCTTAAAAACCCTGAAAAGGATGCTTATTTTCATGTTTGGTTTTATAAGTCATTAAAGTTTAAGAGATTACAATTGTCGAGAGGAATTTTTATCTGAAGGTCATTAACCTAAGCATTTTATTATAACTAAGTATAATAAATGAATGACTTACTGTTTAACCAGTCGTTTTAGTATTATAGAAACTATTTAAAATAGGAACACTTACCATTCCTTTGAAGTGCTATACAATTAATATTCATACAACTTTGAAGTTTTAAAGTACAGGTATATCTGAACTTTTCTCCATGCATTAATCAAAACGTCTGTAACCATGCATATATATGTTCTTTTAGTTTCTATCTGTAGGTCATTAATACCAAGGACACAATTCATTCTGATTCATTGTGACATATTCTGCCTAAGGCCATTCAATCTAACTAACTTAAAAACAGCTGAGCTGACACTGAAAATAAAAGACACTGAAATATGATTACATTATATTAAGAGTTTTAACATAAACTTTTCAAATTTAAAATAGTATAGGTTTCTCACACCTATTATTTTATGTGTATAACACATTTACTATTTATCTTTACAGATTATGCCAAAAACAAAAGCGAAGATAAAGTCATGACACTTTCAAATGCATATGTTTTTGACAAATCTGAAATTATATACTGTAACAACCTTATTAAATAACACGAATAAACTTAGTTTATAAATGTTGATGTATAATTCTTGTAGTTTACGGCAATCGGTTAAAAGTTCAGACTGTGCCAGTTGGCTTAGAATAATTTCTCTCATAATGAAAGATCGATTCAGTTCTACTTTAATATCTACTTAAACATGTGAAATGTATGTATGAGATTTCATTATACACTCGAATGGTAATTGTCTGGATAGCATTTGGTCACAAATTCAGTCTACATCCTAATTATTATATTAAATACCTCGTGTTATAATTTTTCAAAATTAACACATATTTTGAGACACATAAATATCAATGTTGTTATATATTCAGATGATTTTATCAAATACTGTATGCTGAGATCATTGACAGCTACATGACAAAGGTCAGTTCTGAGTTGACCAAGTCTATTTCACAGTACACACTGAATTAAAAAGTCAGTAAAATAATGATAAAAAACACTAAATTTACATTCAATATTTGATGGGACATTTCAGTTAGCATACAATTCTTGTATACTTTCTATTCAACTAGACTCCATAAACTGGTTATTCACGTTTTAAACAAATGAATGTCAGTAAAAATCATAAATCCCAAATAAGACTGATGATTTACTGAAACCTATCTTACAAAACTTTAATGTAGATATATTAGTTTATGAAGTACTGGATTATCGTTCTTACAACTTGTGTACATTATGTCCATATTACTGCATGCTCAATATGAGTAATGCTTTCATTTCTAAAAACCAACGGACAAACTAGAAATTCAATTTCCATATCTTTCAAAACTTCACCTTATGTACATTTAAACTTATTAGTTTTCCAAATACATTTTTCACAAATAAGCATAACCAGAAATCAAGTGATTATTCTTCGATTAATTCAAATATATTTTCTTCACAAAGATTTTAAAAAATGTGATGTATTATCTTTCATTCATACTTTATAGAGAGATCATCAGTTACAAATCTGTGTTCTGTAATTTTCTTATATAAAACTCACGTTTCATACACAACTTCATGATATGCTAATACACTATTTACAAAACATTTTAGTTTATAAAATACTGACTCACAGCTCAGTGTAGTAATACCTATGATATATATAGTAATTCTAGCATGTTATTAGTCAAATATAATAAATAACTATAAAGGAAACATAAGGAGCATTCCCCAAAATGATCAATGCTTCTTTATTTTAGAAACTATACAAAACATATCATGCACTTTAAACCCATAACTAAACTGACTGTCCCTGTCGTGCTGAACATTACATCTTGACCGTCACATTGCCTCTCCCCTACAACTTAAAACTGACGTGTCTCACCATTATCTAATATGTAAGTAAATACTTGTGAAGTATCACACCCACAATGAAACAATTATTAACAAAATTTCAATATACACTAATATACTGTAAACATCTTAGTTTTGAAAAACTGAATTAGCTTTCATACACCTTTTGTACATTATGTTCATATTACTGTTTCAGGTAGAGTATATATTTTTCAGTTATGTAACATTATGTGCAAATGAAAACTAAATTTATCAAAGATATCTTAACATAGATTTTGACACAATGTTGCAGTAACATGTGATATATTATCTTTTACACTTATACATAGAACATGAAATTTTATTATTCTTTTTGTCATTTACAATTAGTGTGCAATCTCAAATGTAAGAGATTTTGAACGAGTACACTCAGATTAATACTGATGTTTATTGTATATATTAGAAGTGAGAAACTTTTTCATCAGTAGAGATGATATGAGCAATCATAACTTTCTCTTTTTCAGCATGTGATAGTCCTGAAAATGACCTTTAACTTTCATTCATTAAACAAAATCATTTTCTTCATTATTTTCAGGACCAATCTTCATCTGAGATACATTTTGTCTATTTTGTATAAATCCAAGGACCCAGTGTAGTAATATTTGGGGAATATCTAAATGTTCATTCAAATGCCTGCATAAATATAACACATCTTCATAAACAAGACGAACAGGACACTCACCAAAGTGATTTGTACTGAGATAATGATCACATGATTGTTACATTTTGAAAATATTCATCACAAAGTATATATTACTGTAAGTGTGTTTGTACATTAATTTCACACACGTATATAATCTAGAACAAAGAAACACTCTAAGAAGTGATGCCAAAGGGTAAAACTCTTTGACCAATGCTTTGACCTTTGTTTATTAGTTACATACATGTTAATGACTGTTAAATGAGAAACAGTCACTTCTCTGTCAGGAGACATAGTCTTATACTTATCTAGACATACTTGAAAACTCATATACACCAACAGTATTAGCATAGTTTGTCTCGCTAAAGAAAATATATAAATCTTAATAAATCAGACAATAATTCAATGATTATATTTATTGTATATATAAAAAAGCAAGAAACCTTTCTTTACAACTTTCTATTTAAATGCTCTATTAATCTGTCAATTTACTAGCTTTGTTAAAACTTTCGATGAGTATTAAACTTTTTCTAAACCAAGAAACCCATCGCTTATCATCATAAACGTTTTCAGGTATGTACTATTTAGTTGTTATCCAAACTTCTTCGCAAAGCAGTGCTTCCATCGCGCATGCTCATCAGTTAATACACAAGAACTGCGATATTCCTTTTCTCACGATATTCTTGTTTGCCATGCTGTTACAATATTAAGGAATTTTTATAACATACTATTCCTCACTTCTAATAATTACACTTAAAGAAATATTAAAGGGTACTCATAAAACGTCTAAGTTACCTTTGTTTGAACACGGGCAATGGAGAAATAAAATCACATCTGAGGTAACCATTAAAATATCGAATACATTATACCCATTTGAAAATGTAAATTGACAGTTTTATTCAAGCTATATTCTAAAGCTATAACGCTAGAATTTGGAGCTCAAACCTCACAACAATGTAGCGCAGATAACCGATTGTGAAGGGTTGCCGACAAAACAACAAACAGTTTAAAAAATGACACTGGGAAATAATTTCAGTAAGTAAATCTAAAAAAAAAATTACAAAATAATGATAACTTTGTGTCTATTGAGAAACTGTTTGGAAGACTGGTTAAAACGAAGTGAACAGATTTATTTGCTACTGAAAATTGTGAAAGAGAACTTTCCAGAAGAGCTAGGTTAGCTAAGGATTGCGTAGATTTGGTAATTGCTAAGTATTGTAAATCTTTCATGCTAAGATATATTCAGGAAAAATTAAACTTGAAATATCGAAATATAAAATGCAACTTTATTGTTCATAATTATAAATAAACTAAAAACATTCGACTAACCATATCTAATCATTCTGTGTTGTTATTAAGCGTTTGGAATGATAAGAAATGCTTACACTGTACCCTGAGGTAGATGAAGTTGCTTTCTTCATGTCCAATGTCGTTTGTGGCTGTACAGGAATAGCGTCCTCTACTCAAGCGTTGAACGTTTTCGAGGAATAATGTTTGATTGCTAATGATAATACCAGCTGAGTAATCGGCTGAAATATCTTCACCATCAAATTTCCATCCAGTCTTTGTTACTGGTGGATTAGCCCTAGTTTCACATTCCATGTATACGTCACTTCCTTCCTGAATTGGAAGGTGACGTATTTTACTTCCTAGTTGCAAAGTGGGGAGCGGTTTATCTAAAAGTTCAAAATAAATAATCTAAGCATGGATAATTATATAGCAAAACCAGTTTCAAACTGAATCTAACATTGCACATTTGCAGTAAAAATGATATAATAAAATTACTTTTAAAAACAAACAAACGTATAAACCAAAGAAAGTTATTGCGTCAAGAGAATTTGCTGTATTGTTTGTTTGTTTTGAATTTCGCGCAAAGCTATACGAGGGCTATCTGCGCTAGCCGTCCCTAATTTAGCAGTGTAAGACTAGAGAGAAGGCAGCTAGTCACCGCCAACTCTTCGGGTACTCTTTTACCAACGAATAGTGGGATTGACCGTCACATTATAACGCCCCCACGGCTGAAAGGGCGAGCATGTTTGGCGTGACGGGGATTCGAACACGCGACCCTCAGATTGCGAGTCGAGCGCCCTAACCACCTGGCCATGCTGGGCCTAATTTGCTATAAAGTCCTGCAATATAAATATTTAAATCTGGGGTATCGTTATATATTCAAATGTTTGGTTATAATATACCATAAAACACATTAAAATTTAAATCAAAAACGTTTATCTGATGTTGGTTATCTATTGTAGGTTATTTGGCTATGAATTTTAATTCAATTATTGAGCCAATAACAACATCCCCACTGAGAAAATATTATGCATTGTTTTTATCTTTCATCGGTGGTTGTTGAAACATGGTTTGTCAGAATTGTAAATATGCCAGTTTTCTGTGCATTATGCTATTAAACCTTACCTTTCTTGAAAATTCGACTTTAACCAGATCTTGTATAGTAGATAAAAACAACATAAAATATTATGCAGGAACATACTACGATAGTAAAATTATATTAGAGATTATCGTACCTAAATTTTACAAAGACATTATTAGTGGAAATAATATATATAATGATGGTTTTGAAGTAGTCGTTTGTTATAAGGTCGTGTTAAGTTGGAACAGGTTTTTAACCACATGAAAATAAATATACATTATAAGTTATTTTCTTATTTCCCGCTGCTAGAAAAATGAGATTTAGATAAACACCTTTAAATATTTATTCTTCAAACAATTGCCTAATAAAGGTGAAGTGTATTAAGTTTGGAAATTAGTTACTTTACGCGATCTCTAACACTATTTTGCCACCTAAACCAATGAAATCAACGCAAGAATTTGGGTTAAATTTTAGAGTTGGCTTTCTTCTGATTGGTGAAAGAAAAGTTTTTTTTTTACTCTCTTTAGTGACACTGGTCTTTCGTATTAAAAACCTTAGGTTAATTATTGGCTTAGTAATGGTAAAAGTATAGAACGAATTAATGTAGTTAGAGCTTAAGTTTAAAGGGGGTATCTCAGACATAATAATAGAAGAACTTCGAAATAAAGTTTAATTAGATTACAAAAATAAGTTATTTGCCTTTTGATGTCTCATTTGTTTAGGAAAAAAGAATTAATGATATATAAAACTCATTTTTGACGGATGCCGTTGATCTTGGAAATGGTAATAAACTGATTTTATTATTTCCTTATACGCACACATTTATCTTTACCATGCTGTCACTCTGAGTATGTATGTCATGGTGTTTGCAGATGATATGATGATCTTGAAACTTTCAACAGAATCAAACTGTGCTGACGGTACCCCCTCTCCCCTTTTGTTTTGTTGCAGAGGTGTCTGTTTAACGTGAGGACCTACTAGTAACTTACATATTACTTCTAGTTTCCAACTGGCTTTTATCGTGCTTCCAGGAATATGTCTGTTTAGCGTGAGGAGCTACTAGTAACTTAAATATTACTTCTAGTTTCCAAATGCCTTTTATCGTGCTTCCAGGAATATGTCTGTTTAATGTGAGAAGCTACTAGTAACTTACATATTACTTCTAGTTTCCAAATGCCTTTTATCGTGCTTCCAGGAATATGTCTGTTTAACGTGAGAAGCTACTAGTAACTTACATATTACTTCTAGTTTCCAACTGGCTTTTATCGTGCTTCCAGGAATATGTCTGTTTTCAGATGAACAGAAAAGCATCTTGCCGTCATCTGCAGCAGATGGCGTAAACGTAAGAGTGCTTAGTGTTGAGTTACCATTCGCTGGAATAAGAGATTTCGCCGATTTTAACTGAATACCTTCCTTCCACCAAGTGACTTCAGCAGGAGGTCTTGAGCCTGCCGTACTGCATTCTATCTTGACAGGCCTACCAGCCAATAGAGGGCGTCTTTCTCCTTCAATATGCACTTCAAGAGGCCTAACTGTTTATATAGATAAGATATCATTTGAAAATGTGTCTATAAATAAGAAATATATGCATTTATTGGATTACAAAACGATATATATACTGCAGATATGTATCTAAGTTACTGTTTAGAGTTAATGCTATAAGACCAAAGTAATTATTCATAAAAAGTAATCATATATGGTTATAACAAATGATCAATACAAAAACGAAACTAGTATCACGCAGGAGATATTAATTTATGTTTAAAGTGCACCATAAGTCGTGAATAACTACACGTAGAATAATTACTATTTTATTCAACATTTTATAATACTTTAATCATATATTTTTTATTAAAGTACAAATAGGAGCAAATATCCTAGAAATAAGTACATTCATCAATGTGACTACTTCCATCAGGTTGTTAATAATAATTTTAAAAGACCTGAATTCGTTTGGTGTAATTACGTATTAAGCAAACTATTTAACAAATTCCAATTGTAAATGAGATTCTTTTTAGCAATCATAAAAAGAAATATGTATATGAGTTTTAATAAAAAATTATTTTAGTTTATAATATATTCTAAGGATCTGTTGAAATTGCTTCTGAACAACTCTGCATTTAAAAAGTTCTTGTCTGTTTGTTTTAGAGCAAAGCCATATTGGGCTATCTGCTGTGTCCACAATGGGGAAATGTAAATCTTTTTAGTCTAAAATAATAGTAAAACAGTTTAGTTGGAACAAGTCTAAAGATTATATAGTTAAAACAAATTTCAGGAGTTTTACAAAAGATTTCTTCCGTATAGGCATCACTCTTTTCTATAAAAAGAAATTAAAATAGTTATATAAAAATTTTATAATTTGTTATCTGAATGTATATAACAATTCAATAACAAAAATAAATGTATACAAATGCAAACAGAAATAATATTTGTTCTAAGAATGTATGTCAATTTTAACCCAAAATGTCAGCTATTTCCCAGAACATTACTCCTCGCACTCCAGAACACTTTGTTTGTAGTTAAGCGCAAAGCTACACAAAAGGCTATCTGTAGTCTGCCCACTACGGATATCGAAATCAGAGTAGTAGCGTTGTAAGTCCGCAGACATACCGCTGTGCCACTGGGGGGGGGGGGGGGTACTTTTAGAAGTGAAAGAAGCAGCTAGCCATTCCTGATTCCTATTACATTTGCTGTTATTTATGAGTAATGACGCTTACATTTTGTTTTACATTTAACCTTAACAGATACACCTGAGATTTCATCAAGGGTTTTGTAACAAAAACTGTGGAACAGAAACCGTCTATTATTATAATGAAAATGTGTTCTCAAAATATCTTTTCATATTACAAACAAACTTTCTTTGGAATTTTGCATAAGATCTTCACATAGTAGTCGTAACAAATGTAATATATTTGCCAATTGAAACTAAGGGATTAAATCGTGTTATGCTGATTCAGAATTTTCTTCTTTTCTGTATTACGTTCAAGCAGTAGCTTTCATAACATTCCTTATTATTAAAATATGTAACTAGTTAACAAAATTTTAAGCTGTAATATTTTGACTGTTTTTTATGTTTTGATGAAGAATATAGTCTGTAATATCAAACAACTTAGCTGTAATACTTTGACTGTTTTTTTTATGTTTTGATGAAGAATATAGTATGTAATATCAAATAACTTAGCTGTAATAGTTTGACTGGTTTTTTATGTTTTGATGAGGAATATAGTCTGTAATATCAAACAACTTAGCTGTAATAGTTTGACTGGTTTTTTATGTTTTGATGAAGAATATAGTCTGTAATATCAAATAACTTAGCTGTAATAGTTTGACTGTTTTTTATGTTTTGATGAGGAATATAGTCTGCACAATGCCCCATGTTTCACTTTAATCGAGTAAGTGACTTACTAAAAATTTAAAGTTTAATTTTTGTCTAGGACTGATTCCAAATGAAATAAGATAAGTCACTAGTTCGGATAATAGACTTTCGTCCCATTTTTTACAACATTGTTCTAAAGTGTTAGGTTTGATTATTTGTCCTTTAGAAAGATGGCGGTTCATTCAGGAAGTATTTGTAGATCAAATTTCTTGGATGGTAAAGAAGTTAATTTTTGCAAAGGAAACTTTTCTTACATCGTTAGTGTTTTACACTTTAACTTTCTACATTATTCGGCATTTTTCACACATGATACATGTTAACGTCGTTGACAACCGAAATTTATAGTTGGTAACCTACATATTATGTACATTTCTGTTAGATTGGATATTTGTGTTTTACATGTACGTCAATAATTTTGCATTTTCTCTGATGAAATATTCTGATAGTCATATTTAATACATTTACCTTATATAAATATGTAATTGAAAGAGATGAGAAATACTAATTACGTCACAGTGTTTTTCAAGACCAAGATCTCTTGGCCTACTGTGACATCATCACTGTGTATTAAATAAAACAATGGATCGAATGGTTAAACCAAGATATAAGAAACAAGTTGAAACTAACTCCTTACAATTCATATCAACAGCAACTGTAGATTGTGAAGGCGGTAGGATGTCGTTATTGATTGCCATACAAGTGAATGTAGCCATCAGGTCATGACGTTGTAACACTGGAATTTCTATCACATTTTTAATTATAAAATTGTCTATTATTTCGTAGGAATCGTCTAACAGTACGGATTCTCGCCACCAGGTAAGGTTAGGACGTGGATTTCCTGAAAAATAAATTGGTAAGAAGAAACCATAAGTGATTATCTTTGTGACAGATTATTTGAATTGGTATTGCTGTGGAGAAGTCCACGAACCTCAGTATATTTGGATATTTATGTTACTTTTGATTTAACAAGAGAACCTCAGCAAAAGTTTTGGTTTAATTATCATTCTTTTAAAAAAAGATCTAACCACAGTTATTTGATTTCTTTATGAATAATAACGTTAATCAGACTTGATAGTTTTACACCCATCCACTAGACACAAAGTGTTTTGATTAATTATGTTGTTTCAAAGTATAACAAACATTTTGCAATATAACAGTCTTATCATAAGCACGTTGTTTACTAGAAGCATAGAACATGTAGAATAAAGGAAGCTATCAACTTGCCTAATAAAATATGAAAACAATTTTATTATTTAAAGAAGTTATTTAGAAATGCAAAAAAATAATAAAATAAAATAAACAACTAACACTTAAAGACATCATAAAAGACTAAGAGTCGATAATTAGTACATAATTACGCAGTTAAATAATGGTTCTTTTAACGCAAAGCTACTTTATGGGCTATATGCGCTCTGTCTACCACTAGAAATCGAACCTCGAATTTTAGCGTTGTAAATCCATAAACCATAATCGTACTGCCGGATACCAGAGATTAAATTAAAAGCCTTTAAGTGTGAGTAAACAGTAATTTTTAAACATATGTTAAGTCCTCTGTTAAGTAAAATTCTGAACAATATAAATGATTGTTTGTAGTTCTCATTTATGATAAAAAGTTACACATATGAAGTACTGTATATTTTATTGATAATGAATGATTCAAGTACATACGCTCTAAACCTATTGATACGTAACAATCGATTTGAAACTGTTCAATATTTGAACGATAACAAGACTCCAACAAATGTGTGTTAATCAGTGACTTTCAAAAATAAAATAAAAAATTTGAAGCCAAAGCAGAATCAAAATTAAAACAACTAATCGGCAGGTTTTAGGCTGGAATCGGTGTACTTTTCGACTAAACGAGGTACATTTTATATTTTTGTTCTGTGTTGATAAAAGCTACAGCAGCTATATTAAATAATTTATTCTTGTTTATCATCTTTACAAAAGTGCTCTAATCACTGATTGAAGCTAACGACTTGGCCACTTGAGCCTCCAGGTTTTCAACAAGTAAATATCTTTATGTTGAAACCTTACCTTTCTGAGTCTTGTGTACAGGATACGTGTATCATTTCACTGTAAGCTGATAAGACTTACTGACTAAACGTTTAACTGTTTATTCATTAATAATTAATGTATGGAAAATGGCTTGTGATTATTTGTAATGGCTAACAAGACACAAACCTCCTGTGACTTCGCATTGAAGCCAAAGTGAATCGCCTTCATTGTACGGACCAATTAAACTTTGCTGGATTTGACCTGCTCCGTTCTTTACTACTGGTTTCTTTGGAGGAACTATCATGTTATAAAAGAAAGAAAGAAAGAAATTAAAGACAATATCTAAACAAATTATACAATAAATTGAATCGAAGTAATAGTCTTTACTCAAAATATCCATAGATAACTCTTGGATAAAACACGAATCTAACTAAGATCTATTTATACTGTAAATTTACATCTATTACAATAAAAAAACATTTTTTAGACGAATTGTGTTTGTATTAGGCATAATACATCTGTTTTCATAATATATTTGATTTCAATATAATTCAGGCATTATCTTTCATCTAATATACTTTATTTCCTTCGGATATTTTCACTTTCTATTTACATCATATTTCTAATTATGTTGAATTTAAGAAATAAACCAATAGGGGAATCAAGTTCTATTTACATTTACGTTACTAGATGACTGAGATAAAACTATTAATAATGACCTAAATTAATTCTTTTCCATTTGCGAAAACAGTGTTTTTGTAACCAAACTTTATAACAACTAATGCGTAGCAGTGTTTACTTATTATTCATTCTGAATTATGAACGCATTTAATATTTATTAGGGACTAAATTACGAAAAGCTTCAACATATGTTTACTTTAAGATATAAAAGTAACAAACATAGTAAACACATGAACTGAAACTTAACACTTTACACAATTCACTTTAAAAATTAAAACAAAAGTGATATTAAGACTGAAAACTTGTGAAATAGAAAATTAGAAGAACTTAGAGTTTACTGAAAAAATGTATATATTTATTTGATTAATAAATTACCAAGTTCATTATATTACACTCATGTTAAATATATTTCGACATTCAGAACAAACATATTTCAAGGTATAATAAGTTGAATTAATATTTTTTCCTCAAATCGGGCAGACATACTTTGCTTGTTTTTTTTGGACTTCGCGCCAAGCTACATGAGGGTTATCTGCGCCAGACTTCCCTAATCTTGAAGTGATAGACTAGAGGGAAAACAGTTAATCAGCACAACCGCCCGTCGTTCTTTTAATTCATCAGGGTTCCAAGTGCGGAGCAGGATTTGTAATTAGTTGTTGGAACAGTTAGTGATAATTTATATTCTGGTTTCTGCAAGTCAGTTTACAATTTCCTTTGCAGTCCCAATTTTATGAAACTATTCTTAGATGCGAAGAAATTGACAGGCTTGAGCCTAAAATCCTCAGATGTTATTAACACCTACCACACGATCCAGCCCGGCATCTTGATGTGAACAACAATAAAAAAAGTCATTCCCGAAAAGTTTGGGTTGTTTTGGTTGAACTAAAAGAAGACGTTTGACACAATTTTCGAGATCAAGGTCGCGGGACCAGAACAGTGAGTGGACCCATGATCTGAGCCGAAACCTTGAGAGCCAAGTTAACTTTTAAATGTAAAGTAACACGACTTGGCAATAAAACATGCTTGAAATGTTCTAGACATTGTTGCGAATGTGATGGTTTAAACGTAGCGATTAAGCTAAACAATGGGTCCAGGTCAGATGAGGGAAGAACTTATTCGAAGATATATCAATCGATTTGACATACCAGCTGATTCGTCAATTGATTACTGCGCTGACAGCAAAACAAAAACAAACAAATAACAACAATAAAAAACGGGCACAGTAGTATCTTTAAATTCAAAATGAATCATATATAAAATGATTAGTTTCGATATTTTGTGAAACTAACGGCACAGTAAAGCCCAAAGATGCAGTGTTGAAGTTGAAGGAGATGCACGATGCACTACAAGATAATTCTGTCAAATTAAAAATGTCATTTCTGCAATGAAGAGTACATATAAGAATGACGGTATAATGCCAAGTATGATACCACCATAGTATAATACATATAGATATCATATGTTCATTACTATACAGTTTTAGAAGTTATGCCGAGCTTCATTCACAGAGATTTATCAATAATTTTAAATCACCAGTTTTCGAAATGACCCCCCCTGTTGACCATCCTAGGCTCACTACTAAACGATATTGGGCTGGGTCGTGTGGCAGGTGTTAATATCATACTGTTTCACTGGAAGTAGAAATCAATATCATATAATACAATGACCCCCCTGTTGACCATCCTAGGCTCAGTACTAAACGATATTGGGCTGGGTCGTGTGGCAGGTGTTAATATCATACTGTTTCACTGGAAGTAGAAATCAATATCATATAATACAATTGTAACTAGAGTCAAAACATATAAATCTAAAATTCATAAAACACTATTTCGTTGAAACTTCTAAAAGTTTTATGATATGTGTAACGGCCCTTCTGTAACTCAGCGGTAAATAGAAAGCTTATAACGCTAAAAATCGGGTTTCAATGCCCGCGGTAGGCATAGCAAAGATAGCTAATTGTGTAGCTTTATGCTTAAAAACAGACAGAGAGACGACAGATCTTTGTAATTTAAAATGCTGAGCGTGCATTTCCAATCTATTCCTTATCGTGGCAATAATTTTTCTAGAATAATATTTCCCCATAAAAAAATTCATAAGCATTAACATTTTTAATTGACAAATTATGTAGCTCATATTGCAATATATAGCTACGAAAAACATTTTGTATATGTTTTGTGGTTTATAGTGCATCTTAAAGAGACTTGAATCATGACTGGAAAACGTGAAACTTATAGTTGTACAATAGGGTGAAATGATTATTAAAACACTGTTGGAGTGTTGTTTATGGTAGATTTTATCAGTTTTGGTCTTCATATTAAAAGAATTTCTTTACAGTCTACCTTTAAATATGTTTTATCAAATGTCAATTTTTTGTCAGATTATTTGTAAGGAAGCCAAGAGTATTATTAATTCAAATTAATTCTCAACAATTGAAGAACTCTTCAAGCTATTAATATGACTAGAAAGTACACGTATCTTGATGTTTTTTTTTCTTTTTTTACATAGCTTTCTAATTTTATTTCAAGCTTTCTCAATTGATACTACAATAATTTTGGCTTTAGAAATTATGTCCATTACAACTGTTTCATCTTTCGTTTGAACAAAAATTAGAAGAAGTTAAGGAAATATAAAAACAAAAACATTTGCATTTTCTAAGCAACACTTTTATGATACTTTCATTGTTTTAGTCTTCTTCAAAGCAATGAGACCAAATTATTGCCAATATCCAACTAGTTAATCTTTTTGATACCTTCTATAACAAGTCAGTAGAACTTCTGACACTGAAAAAAGTAAAAGGCCTACCTGATAGCGAAAGTCTAGTAAGTGTGTGCGTCATTTTATGTTTAAGAATAGAACAACTGACAAAAAACAAGAGGAAACATCAGTTTACTTTATTAACAAGTACTAAAGTAAGATTAATTACATCTCTAATGTTTTAATAATATATTAAATTTTCTTGCTTAAGTAACTTTTATTATTTTGGTATAATGTGTTCAGAATTATCTTGTGTTTTTCTGACACGCAGGAGTTAAATTTATAATGTGTTAGTTTCTTAGTTAGAAAACAGTATACGATAAAGATTGCGTACAATAAGAAGTCATGTTTCATAGTATTTTCATTGCGCACGCTCACATCTTTTACCATTAATGACTGTCTAATGTAGCACTAGTAACCTTAAGAGTAACTGAATAGTAAAAGACGTAAAACATGTTCACGAGCTAGAAATAAAGACACAAAGAAACTTCTATTAAAGCAAACAATTAACGAAATCAATATAAACCAGGCCCTTGGATCATAATCCAGATTTTCAGTTATGGTTAATATTTCTGGATTTTCATCGTTAACATAATTTTGTATAAATATAATGTCGTATGAATAGATAAACATTAGAACCTATTATTCTTAACCCCACTTCTAAGTAGCGTGTTCGAGCGATACGGAAGTCCACCCGACAAAGAAAGGCTCCCTCGTCTTCTTTGATAACTGGATCTAATTGAAGTCGAGCCATGGTCCCTGTAATATTGAAATAGGCACGAGATGCCATGTCGTCACTCTTCCAATGTCTCCCCGAATGTACACTTCCGTGTCTGGCATCAAGACTATAAAAAGGTGAAGGAGATTTGTCTGTATACCATAAAACTAGGTCTAAGTTATCATCTAGGGCCTCAGGAGTGATGTTACATGGTAATTCTGCTTTTCTTCCGGGAAGCACGTACAAATCCACTCTTTCTACTGTGAAAAGCAATAAAAAATATAATTTATAATTACTAAATAATTTCATCTGGAAGCTGTATTTTTGTAAATACATAATAATTTAGTCACATTTATTCATCAAATATGCCATTGCTATTTATATGCGGAACTTTGAAACAGAAATTTCAAGACCACGGAAAATTTATTATGATTTAAGATAAGCACAGAAATTCTGCATGTTATATATATATTAATGCATTAAACATACTGATTACACACTTAAAGCTTGGATGTTCCATGGAATTATCCATATAAAGATACAAAATGTTCAACGAATTACATTTTTCAGTGTTGCTTCAAATAATTCTACGTCTTTCAAGAATATTCTAAACTCTATTCCACAATATAAGTGCTGCTTCGTAGTCTTGAATTTTGTTCCTTTCAACGTTGATTGACTATTTAGTTTGTGTTTAAGCTAACCTTAATCTTAACGAAATGTTAATGGATATTTGGTGTAACTATACTTCATTATTCGTCAGTAAGTACAATTTTATTTGTTCGAAGTGCGTTTACCTGCTACATGTTACTCAAAGATAGTAATAAACATGTAAAAACTCAACCAAAACATTAACATCTTAACATAATATTTTTGTAGGATTTTAGATTTACAGTCTCTAACAACCAATTTATGCACAAATAAAACTCGACAAAGTATATAAGCCAAAAGCCAAACATTCACACATGGAGTAGAGATGTAGAAGTAGGAGGAGAGGTTATAATTTTCCTTACACTGCATATGATAATTTCAAAATAAACATTAGTGTGAACTAAAAAAATCAAAGTTTATTTACTAGCATTCGGTTTGAACAACAGATTACTTCGAGAAAGTTCTACCTAACTAACTGCCCTCTAACGAACAAACCTTTTAAGTCTAGAATTGGGAAAATATAAGATACAATATAATGTATTTATTTTCTGTATCTTGTGCTATCAACAAACAAATTAAAATATAATCGTATTGTGTTATAGCACATAGCTTTTGGTATTATATATATTTGCTGTTTGTTTAAAAACAGGATATGTTCGTCAATTATCAGGTTGAAATGGATACGATAATAATAATAACACGTGATTCAGAATTAAAATGAGGACTTGTTGTCTTAAGCTAATAGTAAATATAGTTCTTTAATGTTACAAATAGCTAATTTCATTTTACTGACCCAAGATGTACTCTTGGGTGTACATTAACTTAGTAAAATTTCATAACAATGGAGAGAAATGGGAGTTAACAGCAGAAGTGCAGGTCATAAGGCGAACCTTGATAGGACAGCTATGTCAAATGGGTGTACGTCATTCAATGGGCTCTGAAAATCATAATAAATGGTAACCACATACCAAAATCCTATCAATAAAACTCTAGACGATCAGTAAGAGTAATTGAGTTGAAGTACTTAAAATCCTCATTCATATGTAGTACTTTTAGAATGAAAACAGTCGGTCGGAATTTCATCTCAAATACTCAAGCCTGTTCTCACCACCAGAAAAAAGCCCTACCGCTCAAGTGCCAAACTAAAATATATATATATATATATATATATATTAAAAACGCATCTTCTAAGGTTCATATAATTTTCCGTAATTAACGAAAATATAGAAAGTTATAAGAGACAATGAATGTCATGTTTACAAAGGAACTGATTTTATACAAAGATAACTAAAATATAAAGTGAACATTTCTTGTGCTGACGTGACTTGCCCTTTTTACACCGGTTTCATGAGTTGACTTCTATGATAATACTGTGATAAGGCTGACCTTGTTCCTTTGCACTAATGTTATCAGTAGCAGATAAAATATGAATAATGAAGGAAAAGATTTGGTTTGTATAGTTTAAAATAAGAACAATCAAAAACCTGGATTGGGAACAGAAGATGATCGACACATTTATCAACTTATTAATAAATGTTAAGTATGCACACAGTTTTATTACCCAGCAGGTTAATTTGTAGCAGTATTATAAGAATATGTGTGAATTACAAAATATCTTATTTTTAATAGTTTCGTAGAGAACCATTCTGAGAATAATATTAGAAATAACCTTTTTTGAACGAACTTGTAACTTGATGATGTGTATAATAATGAATGAGGATATCAGATATTTTACTGAAATACTGAAATAATTTATCCATACATGAAACGCTCCATCAGAACCATAAACAGCTGCAACTGCACTTGTAGGTTTCTACAACAGGCAGTTGCTTTCCATTTAAAACTTAGATTCATTCTTAAACTAAATTTAACTCTAAAATATCAGAATATTGTACACTGTTTAAAACATATCCAGGTGTAATAAAACACATTGTATTCAGTTTGTTTTGAATTCCGAGCAAAGTTACACGAGGGCTATCTGCGCTAGCCATCCCCAATTTAGCAGTGTAAGACTAGCGGGAAAGCAGCTAGTCATCATCACCCACCGCTAACTCTTGGGCTACTCTTTTACCAACGAATAGTGGGATTGATCGCCACATTATAACGCCCCCACGGTTGAAAGGGTTTGGTGGGACGGGGATTCGAACCCTCAGATTGCAAGTCGAGCGCCCTAACCACCTGGCCATGCCGGGCGAAGAGTTTTAATACAATATATCCATATTTTAAGTTCTAAATTATTTATCTTTACAACATTAATTATTAGAATACTTTAATGAAAATTGCAAAAATTTCCCACACACAATAAAAAATTAATGAGATAAGGGTCACCATGTCTGCAACTTCATTGTATAGTAATTTATTGAACTACATGGAAAGTGTCACACGAAAAACATTGATCTGTTGTACAATTGAACCAATGAAACCAAATGTATTTAAAAGCGGCTTAAATGAAGTCCGTAAAAATTGAATAGAAATAATTTTCAAAAGTTAATAAAATTAATAAATAATCCGGGAGATTCAGTAACTTTCATCAAATCTTAGCCCTATACTTTCTACAATATCTTAGAAATCCTATTTGATCTTCGTGAAGTGAATTATCTAAAACACGTGTTAAACGTTATGAAATACTGCCTAAAAATATTTTATACATAATATTTAACAGTGTAATTGTTTGTTTTAGAATGTTCGCGCAAAACTAAACAAATAAACAAACAAAAACAAAACCTATATTTAGAGTAAATCAGGTAGTTAATAAGAGTCACTGCTAGATCTTGGTATACTCTAGTAGAATAGTGAGTTTAATAATCACATTATATTAGCTCCACAGTTGAACTCGCGACAGGCGTATAGAGTGCCCTAAACACCAGAACATGCTAGATCTTGATATACTCTAGTAGAATAGTGAGTTTAATAATCACATTATATTAGCTCCACAGTTGAACTCGCGACAGGCGTATAGAGTGCCCTAAACACCAGAACATGCTAGATCTTGATATACTCTAGTAGAATAGTGAGTTTAATAATCACATTATATTAGCTCCACAGTTGAACTCGCGACAGGCGTATAGAGTGCCCTAA